TAGTAAGTGATTACACATTAATGGATTAATGAAACATATGCAGTATTTTGACTAATGTATGCGAATAATATATCTTTATAATATTCAGTACATAGTTACCAACGAAAATAAGTAAATAAAACTTCTTCCCTCTTGATTATTTATGTTGCAAGAGCTTTTTTACTCATAAATATATATTTTTTTATTATATGCTACCAAATAACTGCTGCGTCGCTGTACTTAAAGCATAATCTTAATTAGTACCTTTATCATAATTAAACTTGATTTTAAAAAAAAAAAATTAGCTAAATTTAACTGCTGAATATCCAATGAAGCAATGGATATTGGACCTATCCTTTTGCTATTCCATCTATATTTTATAAAATCCCTCCCTGAGACACAAGGATTGGTCATGGATATTTAGCAGTTAGGCCGAAATGCTAAGCATTTTTTCACTATAAGAAAAAGTGGCAGTTAGCCTATTTCGATCATTTCTGTATCTTCTACGTTGCCGTGTCCAACTCCATTATGTCTACAAATTTTCATGATTACAATTATCAAAAATATATATAAATTAAATAAATTTATTAGTATAAATTAGATTATGATGCCATATATTAGAATATATAATATGATATTGTGAAATATAATTAATTGATACAAAAAAATATACTTACCTATGATTTTGCATATGATTATTATGTAAATGAAAGTGCGTTGTTCGTGGAGAAAAACCACGCATATTGCCTCTACGTGGACTTTTAGCATTTATTACTCGTGGCTGCGAATACATATCTTCAAGTATACTAGGTGCTACATAAGTAAATCCCTAAAAAAAAGTAAAAGTAAAAAAATAAGATATTTAATATTAAAAATTATATAAAGTATTAAAATAAAATTTTACAGAAAATCAAAAAAAATATATAAAAACATACTTGAAATACTCTATTAGCAGATTCACTTAATGTGTATTCTGCAGGGGAATCTATTGGTGCAGATGTCGTAAATTTTTTATCAAATTGTGATACATCGTCCTCGCTTGCTAATGTTGGTCTAAATGGTGGTTCTAATTTACGAGAGATAACATCATTCCAATTGATATGCTTGAAAAATTGATGATTTTTTATTTGTTCTGCATCAGACGGACCGGATCCTAATCTTTGTGCAACTTGTCTCTATAAAAATATAAAATTATTGTATTATTATGTAATTTAGAATATATATCTTTTATGATTTAAAAAATTAACCTTCAACAATTTTCGAATGAGATCTCGAGAATCAGGTGTTAAATATTGTGGAAGATTTAATTTACCACGTAAAATTTTTTCAATAGTTTTCTTTCTATTATCAGATGTAAATGGTGGCTAGAAATTAAAGATATAATTATAAGATATAAATAAGGTAATTTACAATATTAATCTATTTAAGAATCTAATAATACTTACTGAACCTGTAAGCATATCATACATTAAAGTTCCAAGGCTCCACCAGTCTACTGCTTTACCATGTCCACTTCTTGTTAGAATTTCTGGAGCCCTTTCATTAAAATAAAAAATATCAATATGAAAATTGATTACAAGATTTTTTTTCTATAATTATAAAAATTTCCTTACATATATTCTATAGTACCACAAAATGTGTGTGTAACAGTACCATCTTGTATATGTTCTTTGCATAAACCAAAATCTGTTAGTTTTATATGTCCCTCTGCATCTAACAAGATATTTTCTGGTTTTAAATCTCTAAAAATTTAATTAATAAAAAAAATTAATCATTGAAATACAAAAACAATATATATCATATAATATACTTTGAATATCAATATATTTAAATTTATATGTATAATTAGATTAAAATACCTATAAATAATTCCTTGTAAATGAAGATGTTGAAGGGCCAATATTATTTCCGATAGATAGAAGCTATATATATAAAATTTATATATAATTTTGAAGAGCATTTATATATATAATAGATTGAAATAATTATCATGTTTCCTTACCAAGCAGTTTCTTCAAGAAAAATGCCTTCATCATTTAAATGTCTAAATAATTCACCACCGCACATATATTCCAGAATTAAATATAATTTTCCACCAGTTTGAAAAGCATACATAAGGTCTACGATGAAAGGATGCTGCCAGATATAATCATATATATATTTTAATTTAATTTTTATATATTATAATATATAACATATAATATATATATTTTTTAACAAAATTTAACTTAGAAAATTATTAATTAAATTATTGATTAAAAATTATTAATTTAAAATTATTAAAATTAAATTGTGTAATTATAAAATAAGTAAAATTTGATATATATTTTTAATAACTGTTATTTTTATTTTATATTATTATTAATTAAAACAAATTGAAAATTAAATGGTAAATAATCATAAAAATTATTAAATTGATTAAATTATTAAATGACCTACCTTTACAGCTTCTAAAATATTTCTTTCAGCCTTAGTATGTGCAGTATCTTTCTGGTTCCTTATAATTGAAGCTTTACGTAAGACCTATTTTTTAGATAAATACATTTAACATAAATTTATCAAAAATATAATTAAAAACACATGATCCATGACATTAAAAAAATAAATATAATATTTTTAAACTAAAAAGAGACATAGGTACATAATAATATTATCATAATTATTAAATGAAACATTATTTTATATATTTAAATATAATAAAATATATATTTTTCAAGAATTTATTGAAAAACAATTTATTGAATATATTGAAATAATGAATAGATTTATACATTTTTTTATAAAATTTACAAATACAGAAATAAGAAATTAATTACTAATAAGAATTTTTTAAATTTTTAATTCAAAAAATTCATATTTAAATATATATATATATTAAATATGAATTTAAATATCTTAT